GTGGTCCCAGCTACTTGGGAGGCGGAGGCAGGAGACTCGCTTGAGCCCAGGAGTTGGAGGTTGCTGTGAGCTGTGATGCCACGGCACTCTGCCCAGGGGGACAGCTTGAGGCTCTGTCTCAAAAAAAAAAAAGATCCTCAGGTTGGGTGCGGTGACTCATGCCTATAATCCTAGCACTCTGGGAGGCCAAGGTGGGTAGATAGTGTAAACTCATGAGTTTGAGACCAGTCTGAGCAAAAGTGAGACCTCATCTCTACTAAAAATAGAAAAACTGAGGCAAGAGGATCACTTGAGCCCAAGTTAGAGGTTGCTGTGAGCTATGATGCCATGGCACTCTACCCAGGGTGACAGCTTGAGACTCTGTCTCAAAAAAAAGAAAAGAAAAGAAAACAACCCAAAAAACTCCAGTAAATATTTCCTCCCTATTAGGTAGCAACTTTTAACCTTACACCATCACGCCTTTGTGCCTGTTATATACTTGCCCCACCTAAAATGACTTCTTCACCAATCCAAGTTCACTGTTCCTTTTTTTTGGAGACAGAGTCTTACTCAGTCACCCTAAAGTTGAGTGCTATGGTGTCATAGCTCACAGCAACCTCAAACTCTTGGGCTCAAGTGTCTGTCTTGCCTCAGCCTCCTGAATAGCTGGAATTACAGGCACCCACCACAATGCGTGGCAATTTTTTTAGAGGGGGTCTCGCTCTTGCTCAGGTTGGTCTTGAACTCCTCAGCTCAAGCAATCCTCCTGCCTCCACTTCCCAGAGTGCTGGGATTACAGGCATGAGCCAATCAAGCTGAGCCCAAGTTCACTGTTTCAAGACAAACTCTTCCTTCTCTAGGAAAGAGATCTTATTTAAACCACTGTTGCTTACCTGACTAGGATTCCTCTTTTCACTCCCTCTGCACGTGGATATCAAAAAAGATTTCATGTTTAGAGCTAACTCTGATTCACTGATAGTAGCTGCTTGTTCAGAAGGATTGTTGAGGCTATTGTGAGGATCAGTAAAAGAAAGTACCTGCCCCAGATATACAAGGTGATTTGGTATTTACCATCTTTTTTTTTTTTTTTTTTTGGTACAGTCTCACTTTGTCACCCTGGGTAGAGTGCTGTGGAGTCATGGTTCACACAACCTCAAACTCCTGGGCTTAAGAGATCCTTTCGCCTCAGCTTCCCGAGTAGCTGGGTCTACAGCCACCTGCCACAACACCAGGCTATCTTTAGAGACAGGGTCTCCCTCTTATTCAGGCTGGTCTCTAACTTCTCAGCTCAAGCCTGGGCCTCCCAGAGTGGTAGGATTATAGGTGTGAGCCACCGCGCTCGGTACTTACCATCTTTGTGTTTTTTTGTTTTTAACATCTTAGAAAAAATTGCTGTTGTATTTTTGCATCTTTTGAAATATCAAATAGAATACTGAGTACACAGTAGGAGCACTCAATATGAATCTGATAATATTATCAAATCAAGTCTCCTTAATTTTAATTCAACTCTTTCCATAATAAGCATCACAAATTTTCCTTAACTCTATTGAGGTACAATTTATGTAACATAAAATTCATCCATTGTAATTGTTTATAATTCAATGACTTTTGGGAAGGTAAATTTACCCACTGTGAAACATCACTATAATCTTGTTTTAGAACATTTTTATCATAAGACTCCTCAGTTTATAATAAGTTCTTCTCATTCTTAGCTCCAGACAACCACTTATCTACTATCTAGATGTACTTGTAGAAATTTTACATAAATGGACCCTTACAATATGTTCTGTCTGGCTCCTCTGACTTAGTATAATGTTTTGAGTTTCATCTATATTGCAGTACATTTCAGTACTTCTTTTTAATGCTAAGTAGTATTCCATTATATGGATACACCATCTTTATTTATAAATTCACTGGTTTGTGGATCCTTACATTGTTTTTACTTTTTGGTTACTTACGAAAAATGCTATTATATATTTGCTATATAGCACATTTCTTTTTTTATTCAAAGCAAGCATCCTTAGAAGATCTTAAATATCAGGAAAGATACTCATGATACTTAGTTTTATAAGTACTTCAAGCAGCTCTTTTAAGAGTCACTGGAGGTGGCAGCCGTAGCTCAGTGGGTAGGGTGCCAGCCATATACACCAAGGGTGGTAAGTTAGAACCCGGCCTGGGCCAGCTAAAACAACAATGACAACTGCAACAACAATAAAAATAGCCAGGCATTTGAGGCGGGCACCTATAGTCCCAGCTACTTGGGAGTGTGAGGAAACAGAACTGCTTAAGCCTAAGAGTTTGAAGTTGCTGTGAGCTGTGACACTACAGCACTCTGCGCAGGGTGACATCTTTAAGTCTCTGTCTCAAAAAAAAAAAAAAAGAGTTGCTGGAAAAATTTATGATCGACACCTATAAAATTAGCAACCTCAAAGTATCTAAATGAAATCCATAAGAGGGCAGATACTAACCTAGCCTGCTTATCTTCAAGAAGACTCTCAACAGCAAGCATTTTAGACATGAGTTAAAAGCAGTATATAAGACATCAGTAAATCAGATTTACAACAAAATTTAACAGACTATGCCCTAGAAATTAGATTTTATTATTATGCAGAACATAAACCCTGGAACCTAGTAAATTATTTATTTATTTTTTTGGGAGACAGAGTCTCAAGCTCTTGCTCAGGGTAGAGTGCTTTGGCTTCATATATCACAGAAACATCCAACTCTTGGGCTCAAGCGATCCTCTTGCCTCAGTTTTTCTATTTTAGTAGAGATAAGGTCTTGCTTTGCTCATGAGCTCAAGCTATCCACTTGCCTCGACCTCCCAGAGTGCTAGGATCACCAGCATGATCCACAACCCCTGGCCAGAACCCAGTAAATTATTAATGGTAGGCAGAGAAAGAATCAAAGTAACACAACTACACATAGAAAACTTAACTGACATAAAACATCTTACTATTATTGGTGCTGTTGCCATTGAAAGATCCAGAAGAACTATTATTGTCTTTCTCCTTATCTTGATTTTCAAAGTCCATATTAAGGGACCTGTGGGGAAAAAATTTCATAGGTAAGTTTTAGTTTTGCTTAAGAAAGTATGTGGTTAGAAAAGTCAGTAATGGCACCAAATTTTAAAATACTAAGGCACTGGGAAAGAAAGAAAGCTCTCTTTTTAATAACTCTGGAAAAACAGTTCTTGTTACCACATTTCAAAACTCAATGTAGGCTCGGCACCTGTGGCTCAAGCAGCTAAGGCGCCAGCCACATACACCTAAGGTGGCTGGTTCAAATCCAGCCCGGGCCCGCCAAAAAGCAATGATGGCTGCAAAAACAACAAAAAACCCAGCCGGGCATTGTCCCAGCTACTTGGGAGGCTGAGGCAGGAGACTCGCTTGAGCCCAGGAGTTGGAGGTTGCTGTGAGCTGAGATGCCACAGCACTCTACCCAGGGGGATAGCTTGAGGCTCTGTCTCAAAAAAAAAAAAAAAAAGAAAGAAACCAATGTAAATTCCTTGCAACATTAGTTCAAGAGTTTTCCTGACTGCAGTTGAAAGCATTCCAATGTGGCTAAATCTCACAGCCATATCTCTGTGCACATCCTAATTACTTCCTCAAGATAAAAACACAGAAGGAGAAATACCAAAGGGCAAGCACACTGAGACTTCTATACACCATACAACTGCTTCCAGAAAGGTTGTACCAATTTACTCTCTGATAGCACTCATTTCTTTTCTTTTCCTGTTTTTTTTTTTTTTGAGACAGCGCCTCAAGCTGTCCCTCTGGGTAGAGTGCTGTAGCATCACAGTTCACAGCAACCTCCAACTCCTGGGCTCAAGCAAGTCTCCTGCCTCAGCCTCCCAAGTAGCTGGGACCACAGGCACCCGCCCCAACGCCCGGCTATTTTTTGGTTGCAGCCGTCATTGTTGTTTGGCAGGCCCGGCTGGATTCGAACCCGTCACCTTAGGTGTATGTGGCTGGCGCTTTAGCCATGTGAGCCATAGGCGCCGAGCCCACTCATTTCTCTGTATCTTGCCAGCTTTGACGCACCAACAACAAACCTGTCTTCTCTATGCAAAACTATTCTAGGTATTGGTGGGACAAAAAACAGCGAGCAAAATACCGTACTACTGGATTTTACATTTAGTAGGGACAGACATATTAAATAAGAAAAGTTAGTTAAGTATATGGTACTTAATGGAACAAGCTAAAGACAAAGACAATGGGGTTGTATTTACTTGGACGGATATGGAGAACATTCTCCTACATAAAATATCTCAAGAATGGAAAAGCAAGCATCCCATGTAATCAGTACTAACCTGAAAATAGTAAACCAACAACTACCAGCTCACATGAAAGAAAAACACAATTAAATTCAAGAAGGGAGAAAGGGGAGAGAACTTAATTTGTTCCCAGCTATCAGGTATAATGTAGGGGTATATGGCACATTTCCTAGGTGTAAGGCTCAGTTACAACTCAAACTTTTACTTTTAATCATTTTTGGCTTTATCTTTACAACGTGTTGCTTGTAAGCAGCATGTAATTTGGTCTTGCTTTTTTTTTTTATTCAATCTGACAACTGCTGTCTTTTAATTTAACTGTTTTTATTTCAGATTAGTTAAGTCACAGATGATTAGGTTCCATTGTTTGCATTTGTTAAGTCAAGTCCCTGTTGTAGCTATGCCCCTCACCCAGATGAGACATGTACCCTTACATTGTGCCTATTAGGTGAGAACACACCAAACCCCCTCTGTCCTTGCTTTTAATTTTATTTAATGTGATTGTCAATGTGATTAGGTTTGAGAGCTTCATCTTACTATGTGTTCTCTAATTGTCCTTTTTTGTTGTTGTTTCCCTTACTTGCCTACTTTAGGATTAATATATTTTATGATTTAATTTTAAATCACTCTACCCAGGGTGATTGCTCTGAGTGTCTTGTCTCAAAAAAAAAAAAAA